GGGCCCAGACCAAATTGGGCTTAATAAACGGCGGGCTTATTAACCGTGGGCTGAATAGCTGGCGACTACTGTACTAGCTATTTTTAACTAACAAGTGGAAGACTCCTGTACAAGAGATAGCAAGATAAAAGCAACTTAAAGTAACTTTTAACCAGTAAAGTATCCAACAGAGAAGACTTCACCTACCATAATAACTTAGCAAGTGGCGAATAAGGTTCAAATGTTGATGGGAACAATCCTCGGTTGTGAAAATGTTAATTGTAGTTTGAGTCTACTTCGCAACTGAAGACGTTAGAGCCCTGCGCATGCCTTAGCAGCTATAAATGAGGACTGGACACGCGGTGTATAGAACGAACGTTTGACCTTTGCGTTTCCCGATTAAAATCCCAAAAAAAATATTTTGACGTACCTTCTGGTGACGTTGGACTACGTCACTAACGTTAGCCACTCTGCCTTCACGGCGCAGCTGCGAAACATGGACCAGTCCCTCCCACCTCTTCTGCAAACCATCCAGTTGAACGATGGCACCGAATGCAAGGAGGTTAGTGACACGACCAGAATATATTTGTCCTGTTTCGGGCTCAAGGGGGAGCTCGGATCGAAGAGGAGGCAGGGGTCGTCTTTTTGATGGCGAGCTGTCGCGCGAAGTACGATCCCGAGACCGGTAAGAATCGTCTGAGAACTTTCGAGAATAATCCCTATGCTTAGGGGAACGATCCCGTGTGCTCCTATGTTTGTCTGGTGTTCTGGAACGACTTCGGTGAGGAGACCTTAAAAATAATTAGTGAAGTAAACTTAATTCAGAACGGTCATGTAGTTATATCAGTTAACTTTTTTAAAATGAAGCCACAATTTGCGCCGGAAGGTTTTCGTTTACGGATGCAGGCGCTTACCTCGAATGGCCTCGTCTGTGGCGATCGCGGCTGTGACTACGTCTCCTTGAGCGGTCACGTCGTGGTGAAGGAGCATCTCGACGAGACTCGTCTCGCGGCCTACTTTTTGAACTATATGCGTTAAAAAGCAGTTCAGTCTGTTGTTAACTTATCACGGTGGTGTAGAATAAGAGGTTTATGAAATAATAACATAGCATAATTTTCAAATCGTAATTCAAAATTGAATTTCATACGCAATTTCTAATTTCATTATTACTATCCTTATACTATAACTCCAAAAGAGTGACATAGAAATTCGAAAGAGGTTACAATTAAGCAAATTATTGATTTTAGAAAGCAACTGTACAAGTAAATTGTATTAAAGCAATAGTGTGTAGTAAATGTTTACCAGTAGTACTGTCTACTTTTACACTTTCCTCAGTGATATATTTTTTCAGATGCACTGAGGTATCTATGGCGTTCAAAGAAGAACAACGGCGGGAAATGAATCTGACTTGAACTATGAGATTCACTTCTGTCTTGTGGGAAGCATAGACATCCGGTTAACAGATATTACGGTTTAAAAAACAGTCAATATTCCCGAAATTTGGGTCAAATAAAGATCGATGTTTGTCATCACAGATAAAAGACTAAGGGGCCTCGTGAAATCATAGTAAACCGAATCATAGTATTTCTGTTGTTAGGTAACCGTAGCACACTATCTTGGCTCTTGATTTTCACATATAAAAACCAGACTAAAATTTGAATTTTCATACTTCATACTGAATGTGTCACAATTAGAAAGGCCGATAGTCCGTAGAAAACGAAACGTGATAGCTTCACCAAGACAACCGATTAAGTTTGGCAGAATCCGTGTGAAAACGTAGCCACCAAGTGAGTATGAAATGGTTAACTGCGAAGCAATGATGCACTGTATATGGCTAGTTTTCCAATGGCACGCCCAGAGTACTTAAATCGCCGGACAATTAGGGGTGTGTTTTGGCAAACCGGTCTCCAAACCAACATGAACTAGCACTCAAAGGGTGCTTGGATCTGTTTGATGAGGGAAGTTGTCATAAAGGCATAACAATATTCAAGAAGTCATATTAGTCGCAGGTCGGATAACTAGTGCCATGGGTCACTGTGACCCACTTTCATCGATCTTTAGGGGGGCAAAAACTGTTTGAAACGAAACAGCTACTCTATTTTTGGTGGATTTCCCGTTCTTAATTAAAAAAGGGACTACACATATTGAAGTTGACTCGTTCTGAAGTAGGTAGACAAATTCGAGGCCATTACAAGTCCTATAATTAATATGCTAGTCTGTAATTCAATGCTTCGACAACCTGGAACGGGAGATAGTAAGTACAAGTCTGTGACCATGAAAATGGTGTATTTTAAGAAACAAAAAATGAACTCCCGTATTACTGTAAAAGTATTGATGTTGACCCTGAAGAGAGGTTATAGAGGTTAATCTATACGGACGAAACCAGTCAATTGATAACTGAAAAGGGCTTTTTTAATCAGAGGTGACATCGGACAAAACATAATAGCCAAGTAAAGAAATGTTATTTCAATAATTAGCTTATCTAAGTACATCCTACCTACCTTACAGTTTGCTCGTTCTTTGAGTCAGGGAGTGTATTTTCTGCCTCCTTTCGTGCAAATCCTAAGAGAGCTTCCAAATCCTGCATGGTTTTTTCTGCTTCTGCGTCGACTTCAGTTTTCTTCTCCTCAGTTTTTTCCTCCTCAATGTTAGGATTTATAAAACCAATTTCATCAGCAGCAGCCGCCGCCTCTGCCTTCAAACGCTCAATCTACTAAATTATCATCATACAGTGCCACTTACTTGTTGCTGTTGAGTCTCGTTAGGTATGCAAAGGGCCGGTAACAACTTTTTCTTGTAGGTTGCATCTGCTTTTACCTCACCC